ACTGGTGAGTTCAAGTCTGAAGCCAGCTAGCAGATATGTACAATGTGGTCTTCTTTTTTCCTTCTTTCTTTTCTACCTCGCTTCCTTCCTTTCTTTCTACTATAAAACATGAGCCGGGGTTTTTTTGTAGCAAAGCACATACTCCCCTATTTCATCATTGTTTTCTCCACTCTGTTCCCTATTGCCTGATCCACATCAAATAGCTTTGCACAATTAAATTACTTTCCTGGCCCTGGAAGGCATTTGAGTCTTAGACCCCTGCATTTGGGACATAGAACAATTTGCCAAAGGAGGGTTAATTGTAATGTTTATTATTTTAGAGCACTTACAGTGGGCAGAAACTGTGCTGTCTGTACTACCCATCTATCATATGGCCCACAACTTCATGAATCTAAGAAAGATGAACCACAGAGCTGGCACTGTGGGCATCTGGGCTGTGCCTGTCTGGGGAAGCCGCCATGGCAACGCACGACAACACGCGCCTTTCTGAAGCAGTCACATCTGATCCTCTTCATAAAATTTTTTTAAAAAGAAACAAACAAAAAAAAACTATTACAGAAGCTTGAGCTCAGAAGCAAACCACGACTGGATCTGAAATATAAAACCCAGAAAAGACGCAAAATAGACAAGTCTCGAACAAAACTCTAAAAACTGGCCCAGAGAATCCTAAACAACCTGAGAATGAGCCAGGATGGTAGCACATGCTTGTCATCCCAGCACTCTGAGAAGCTGAGGCAGGAGGATCATAAGTTCAAGCCCCACCTGAGCAACTTAGTAAGACTCTGTCTCAAAATAAAAAATGCAAAAAGGGGTTGGAGATGTAGGTCAGTGTGAAGGCCTCGGTTCAGTCCCCAGTGCTGCAGAGTGCGGTGGGTCCACTAAGAATGAATTTTCCCCAGACTGTCGTTTGCACTCACTGCTTTTGCAAACTCTGTTTGGTTTGTCCAGAGCGTTTTCACCGCACTCGATCCTGAGTAGACAGCCTCACTCTCAGGACAGTGCACTCGGGCACTGGAGCTGCTCTGTGCAGTGTGCGTGCGACCTGAGAGCCAGAGCCTGAAAGGAAAAAGGCAGTAGGAAATCGACCACCGCTTAAAAACTCCGGGAGCCAATCTGATCCTCCTGGTGTGGGGCCCTCTCCCTCCGTCTGCTGGTCCTGCTGCCTGCAGGCGGGAGGCCTCCCCAAGTCCCACAGCGATCACAGCCTGCCCTGGAAACACAGGCACAGTCCTGCCTGAGCTCAGAGTGGAGCCCAGCTCGTAACTTCAGAACCCTACCTGCCCAGAATGTCAGATATCTCTGGCAGTCATTTTCAGGCATGAATGTTTTCTAGAACACTGGGAGTTTTGTCAAACAGACAGATCATATTCTCCAGGGTCTTGGTCCTACGATGCTGTGGGCTGAACTGTGTGTGTCTGCCCCTCCCCCAGCTCATGTGACCGTGCAGGAGACAGGACTGTGAGGGGGATTAAAGTTAAATGGGACCACAAGGGAGGAGCCTTAATCTAATCAAACACAAAGAGGGGAAGAGCTACCAGAGCTCTCCCCACACTGCACCTACCTGGGAAAGGCCCCGTGAGTATGCAGCAAGAGGGCAGCCAACTGCAAGCCAGAGGAGAGGCCTCTTCAGAGCCTGACTGTGCTGCCATGGGCCCAGCCTCCAGGACTGCAAGAAATGCACATCTGTGCATTCGCCTCTAATACAAAGGAAAACTTCTGGACCATGTCATATTGACATCCCAGCAGTCAGGAGGCTGAGGCAGGAGGATCACAAGTTCAAGGCCAGCTTGAGTTAGATCATGAATTCAAGGCCAGCCTGAACTGCATAGTGAGACCTTGTCTCAAAAAAACACATCATATTGATGAAAAGCAAGCTTACTCATGGAGGGAGGGGAGCTGGAGACTCTTGCTGGGTATGAGGTTGGTGGCCTCTAATCTTCTCTCTTCTCACCTGAACTTGCCAAGTACCTCTGGTATGGTTTGGACAAGAGTCGCCCAAAGCCCCATGTGTTAATGGCTTGGATCCCAGTAGAACCTTTAAGAAGTGGAGCCTAAGGCAGGTGCAGTGGTGCACACTTGTAGTCCCAGCCACTATGGAAGCTGAGACAGAAAGATCATGAGTTCAAGGCCAGCCTGGGCAACATAGTAACACCCTGACTCCAGAAAGAAAAAAAGAAATGGAGCCTGATGGGAGAGCCAGGAGCCATCGAGGGCACTGCCTTGAAGGCAATATTAGGACTGAAGCCCTTCCTGTCTCTCTTTTCTACTCTTGCCATGCAATAATAGCGTCCTCTGCCATGTGCTCCCACCATGATATGCAGCCTTGCCATGGCCCCAAGCAACAGACCAAGGACCATGGACTGGAGCCTCTGAAACTGTGAGCCGAAATAAACCTTTCCTTTTCTAAGTTGATTATCTCAGGTATTTTGTTTCAGTAACAGAATGCTGACTAACACCTGCATCTGAATTTGATCAGAAAGGCCACACCACAGGAAGCAAAACCCAGAACAAAAAGATAATCAATCCATTATACTTTTTCAGTATGCACCAAAACTTGGGTCCTGATCACAGCTTTCTCCTTAAGCAAGAGAAACCCACTCTGAGGAACCCTAACACAGTTAGGAACCAATAACCAACCAGGAAGTCTTCCTTACTCCTGTAACCTGTGAATAGAAAGTTCTCAATAAATATTGATTGCTAGCAATGGTGTGTTACCTTTAATCACCAACTGACCCTTAACCAATGCTAGCAAGGTTATTATTCAGTGTGGATTTAGAAATGAAGTCTTCATGGGACCAACCCTGAATGTTTCCACTAAAAGTTTTCCTAACAATTTTGGGATCTTGCTGATAGACCTCTTGGTGCCAATGCCCAGTAAGCTTAGAAAACACAGCTCCAGAATTTTGTGACCATTCTAAGAGGACTTTTATGCTGAAGGTTATTAAAAAGAAACTTCTTAGAGTGGTGGTGCACACACCTGTAGTCCCAGCACTCTGAGAGGCTGAGGCAGGAGGATTGCACGTTTGGGCCCAGCCAGCAAAACTTATTGAGAGCTTGTCTCAAAATACAAAGTTTTCGGGCCAGGGATTTAGCTCAGTGGTTCTGCCGCCTGCCTTACAAGCTCAAAGTCCCAAGTTCGATTCCCGGTACCGCCCCCCCCCCAAATACAAAGTTTTGAAAAGGGCTGGAGATGGAGCTCTGTGCAAAGGCCCTAGGTTCAATCCCCAGTACCAAGAAAAAGAGAGAGAGAGAGAGAAGGAGGGAGGGAGAGAAGGAGGGAAAGGAAGGAAAGAAGGAAGGAAGGGAAAGTTCTCTTCTTGTGACATCTAAGCCCATCTCAGGGCCTGTGTGTGGATGGAAGAGTCTGCTCTTTCCCATGAGCAAGCCTTCTCCATGACCCCATGTGTGACTGAGGCCTGAGACAACGGCTCTACCCTGGGAGAAAAGCCTGCTTTCAAACAATTATTCATTCATTTAACATTAATTACACAGAATAGCAGGTTTCATTGCGACACTTTCGTACGTGCATATAACATACTTTGGTCATACCCACTTCCCCATTATTTTTCTTACCCTTCTCTTCCCCCAGTCCCCTTCTCTAACAGTTGAGAGGGTGCCTTTTGACACCTTCCAGGCATACAAAACTCGCAATAACATGCTGGTTTATTTAACATGACATTTAAAGGGCAAGGAAAAAGACTGATGATACAATGCTGAGTATGGGCGACCATTGGCCTTGGGTAAATTTGGTTATCGTGGCAACTGGAGACTCGCTTTTGGCTCCTAATAGTAATAGTTAGGGCTTAGCCACCTCAGCTGTCATCCTGCTCCCGTGGACTTTCCCTTGGCCTTGTGCTCTCTCCTTTAATGTTTTAAAAGCACACCACCAGCATCTGAAGGCCAGGAAAGCGAGCTATGAAGGGGAAACAGAAGAACTTCAGTAATAATAAGACACATGCAGATAAAACCACCCCAAGACATCATATTTCAACCATCAGATAAGTAAAAATACAGTATCAAATAATATATTCTCTTGACCATTCTGAGCACTAATAGCCATTCCCATTTATGGTATTACTTCCATGTGGTAGAGGGTAATCTGACAACATTGAGAAAAATACATATGGCTTTACCCTTGACCCAGCAAACTCATCATGAAGATTTTTCTACCCCAAAAGAGAGGGGGAGAGGATTAGATTGTCCTCACACAATGAAATGAAGGATCTTATCCATCATCAATGGTTGCTAGTACCACAAGAAGAGAGGCATTGTGCACTTCCTGATGGAAGTTCACAGTATCTCCTGTAAAGTATGCTGACCCAAAAATCAAACTGAGTCTGATTAACACTCTAGATTTCACTACCAAAATATAGGAACCATAATGGACAGAGGAACAAGCTAAATGATAACCATCAGGAAGGCAACCACCAAAACCCAGACTGTAGGAAACTCTGTAGGACAAACAGTTTTGCTAAGAAGTTTCCAGAGATGATGAAACATGAATCCTCAGACAAGAATCATAATGAATCCCAAGCAAGACCTATAGAAATAAATCCACATTTACACACATTATACTGAAAATGGAATACGGTGAAAACAAGGAAGTCTTAAAAGTTGCCAAGGAGAAAAAATGTTATCCACAAAAGGTATTTCATGGAAAACAGAAGGAATGAATGGGTTAAAACCAATGTCTGTTCTGAAGTGATGTAGCAAGATCTAAGGGCCTCTTCCTAGAGACGCCTATCTGCAATAAGGGGGGCACACATATGTACATAAATCCTTTGCTTAAAATCATCCTCTGTGCAGAAATCAGTCTCTCTTACTTCTATTAAAGAATAGGAAGAAACTGTTCCTTCAGTGTCCAGGTAGCAGAATTGAAATTCCGTGTCACCACAGGCCACTGACTGCAGCTTTGTGACCTAATGAAAGGGATAGCAAGCCTCCCTTTGTTGGCCTGATCTCCAGCTGTGCTTGCACAGATTTGCTTGGGTCCTGAGCAACAGCTCCCCAGTGAAAGACACCACCCCTGAGTGAGTGAGACCTGCACCTCTGGTTTCCCTCAACCACTTAGTGACCTGGCCTAGCCCCTGTTGCTAGTTATTCTGTACCAGTGATACCCAGAGTCCTGCTTCACCCAAGGGGAAACTTGAGAAACACCTGGTACACAAGGTTGGAAAAGTTTTCCAGTCACTGACACTTGCGTTTCCATTCAGCAGTTGGAGTATCGACCCGGGAGGATAGAAAGACATGGAGGGGTTTGTTGTCCTGTGACATTGGCAGCAAGGTGGACATGAGTGGTGGTGGACTAGCTCTTTCTTCTCCTTCTCCTTTTCCTTCCCCTACTTTTCCCCCTCCCTCCATCCCCATTCCATTCCACTTCTCCTCCTTCTCTTTCTTCTTGGTGCTGGGGATTGAACCCAGGGCCTTTGCATTGAGCTACATCCTGCCCCTTTTAAGTTTTTATTTTATTTTTGTATTTTGAGATAAGCCTTTGCTAAGGTGTCCAGGCTGGACTCAGACTTGGTGTTTGCTTCTTATTTGGTTTACAGCCCTTGAATACCCCATGTTTCCCCTCATTCATCAGTAACTGGAGACAGCCATCTTTGAGGGGTTTTCTAAATGGTGTTTTATTGCCATTTTATTTTCCTGAAATGTCAGTTGGACAGCCAGAGAAATTTGCCCCCAGAGTCCTTGGAGACTGTTTGGAGCTGAAATAACCACCATCATGGTTGGCTGAACACTAAACGAAAAATAGCATTATATGTCAAATTAATATTTTAGGGAGGAAAATGTTCAAACTCTCATGAGTACGTCCACTAATGTGATCTCTGGCAGGAGCCACAGGGCCTCGGAGTGATGACTGGGAGACCAGAGCCACATGTGGCCTTCAATTAAGGAGCTGACATCCAAGAGGGAAGGAAGAATAATGGTGAACGGGTTTCTATCCATCAAATGTGGCACAGGAAGGCAAGAATGATGACATGTGTAAGTGAATTCATTTTGTGAGAGGACTTTGGAGTGAAAAGTAGTGGATTGGGCTTATTAGAAACCACAGCTGGAGCCTCAGAAAATAAGATAACGTAAAAGAATGATGATGGGAGATATAGCAGCTTGACTACAGCAGGTTTCAAACCAAGTGCACAATATTGTCCAATTTTTAAAAACTATATGAGAGTGAGCACACGCACAGTGAATTCCAGGACTCCTTAAGCCTGATTTTTCAATAGAACCCTTTGGAATGCTTCCTTAAAAACACAGATCTATCAGCCCTACTGGTGGAGATTCTGATTTGTTAGATGCAGTCTGGGGCCCAGGTATCTGCGTTTCCAAAAGCTTTTTGGTAAGTCTCTCTGATACAGAGAGTGGAATGGGGGAGATACAGATATTTCTGGGGTTTTTTCTCTGTGGTTTTCCACATTTACACATTGCTCAGTTAGCCTGTATTACAGCTACCATCAGAAAAGATTATTCATAAAAATCATAACTGAACTTGTTAGGAGAAAGAGTCCCAGGCAACAATAATGATGATCATGACTAACGTTTATTAAATGCTTCCTGAGTGCCAGGTTTTATCAACGATGCCATTCGTCCTTACGATAACTCTGTAGACACCAGTATTTCAGCCTTTTTACAGATGAGCCAACAAAGGCCCAGAGGTTCCAGCTCAGACAACTGCAGAGTGACACATGAACACACAGACTGTCACTTGAGAGCCTGAACTGTAACTCCCACATTCTACTTCTTCCAGTGAAAAGGCTAAGGAGCCACTTCCGGCTACCGGAAGTCTGGTCTGGACGCCCAAGGAGCCACAAGGGGTTCTCTGCAGTCGCACATCAAGGCCTTCTGGTCCCTGATCCTCACCTGTGTCTGCTCTGATCTCCCCTGGAGTCACAGGACATTTCCCCTGTGCTTTCCCAACAGGACTGTGCTCCTCCCACAGGCTTCCCAGCATTTGCTATGTGCCTTAAGGAAGAATTCTATCATCCTGCAAGTTAGAGAGGGAAACAGAAGATTGAACACCACGGGATACTGGCTGGCTATTAAGACAGGCCATGAGTGGTCCTTTGAAAAGATTCTTAATTGTTTTTTTTTTTTAACTGAAGTGGAGAACAAACTCCCCTGAAGTGGTCCGTGCCATTGTGCATGAGGACTCTGTTGTGAAATCCGCAGGGATTTCTCCTGCAGAGAAGACAGAGTGCTATTGAGATTCTGTCACGTTTCACAGATGGTCTGGCCGAGCCATTAAGGGACTTTCTGGAAGAGAAACAATGAGTTGATGTCCCAGCCAGAACAAGAGAACTTGCTAGTCCAAATGTGCTTTGGGGATTTTAAAAGTTCTTAAAACTCAGCAGGTATTTAAATTTTTCTCTTTCTTGCTAAAGTTTCCAGATAACACACAGCATGCCTGGTTAAATTTGAACTGCAGATAATAATTTTTTGTTAAAGGATGTCCCAAATATTGCACGGAACATATCTACACTAGAACATTATTCATTGTATTATCTGAAATTCACATTGAACTGGAAGCTCTGTGTTTTTATTTGCTAAATATGGCAGACTTGTTTCATGAAAAACATGCTTTTATTTTCTCCTTGGAGACTGTTTTCCCTTCTCAGTTGTCACCAGCTCAATGACTGGAAGACACATAAACCAGACAAATCAGTCCCACCCGTCGTTTTGTACCAGCCACCCACGGGGCCATATTATACACTCCAAATGCACAGGTGCGTGCAAACCCCTCACAGCCACCACACGCCTGCAAACACAGGCACACACTTGCTCACACACACTCATCCATGCAGAGCACCGGTGGGCTGCTGTTTCTCCTAACATTCTAAAATAAAAGTCCCTCATCTTATTCTGATTTTCATGGCTTTCCAAAACCACAATTTTTCTTCTTGGTCAGTTCCTGGCTATTGAAGGAGAAAATCGTATTTCCAGTGTGATTGGAATGCCAGCTTCCCACAGAGAAGGTTGGCAATAAGGCTTTGTCTCTTGTATTTCAGCAAATTTGAATCAATCTTTCTTTCTTTCTTTCTTTCTTTCTTTCTTTCTTTCTTTCTTTCTTTCTTTCATTTTTGCCATTGCATTAAACTGCCAATTCCAGTATAGAGGCAATGAAAGTAGTCATAGGGTCAGATAATGAATGTAATTTGATAACAAAGAAAAATATAAAACTGAGAATTTCAGGCTTGAGCTGCTTAATAAAAAAACATTTGAAAATGAGAGAGAAGGGATATTGTACAGCATTCTGAAGCAGCAGTATATAGCATGGTGGTTAAGTATTTCCTACAGCCAGGCTACTATAGTAACCAGCTGGCCAAATCACTGAACCTTATCTGCAAAGTGGAAATAATAAAATGCCTGTCTCATAGAATAAATGTATAAAAGTTGTATGAAATTGCACCTGACATATTGTTCACTCTTATAATTACCTTCATTTGCCAGGCACAGCAGTAGCCTCTTCACACATATTCAGCTGTCAAAATAAGGACGGGAGAAACTGAGGCTGACAGAGGTTAAGGGTCTGGTCCAAAGTCACGCAGCTGGCATACAGCAAAGCCAAGATTCAAGCCTCAGTCTCAGGATAAAGCCACCATTCCCCCAGCGACCAATGTCAAGATAAATGCTTAAAGGACAGGAAGTACACAGGTGGCAAGGTAGCGCCTCTTTAGGGAGGTGACAGCATTGTCTATGGTCATTGCTTTTGTGGGGTGAGAGCCAGGACAGGTGTGGACTGGTGCATTTGGTGGAAAGGACAGAATTCTTGTTTTAGTCGCAGACTTCACCCAAACACCTACCAGCCCAACTGAGTACCTTCCTTTCTTGTGACCTCTCAATGAAAGTCCCCAGGAAATGGAAGCACTGGTCCTGGTCTCTGTCTGAATGGCCGTCTGTGCACTGGAGAGCCAGAGGATCCAGCCCAAGGTTGCAGAGCCAATGTGAATCCCTGTTGGGAAACCAGAAGGTCTGCCCTAGAAGGCTGAAAATGAACATCCAAAGATGAGGGTGAAGACCGGAGCTCCTCCAAAGAAAAGGGCAGATTTCCTCCTTCTTTCCCTTTGTATTCCATCCCAGCTAAAAGCCTATTGGCTGGTACCACCCACACCCAGGGTGAGTCTTCCCTCCTCAGCCTGCAGCCTACATGCCAATCATCACAGACTCCCAGAGCTCTACTAATCTGCTAGGCGGTTCTAACTCAAGTCAAGTTGACATGTCACAATTAACCACCACAATCACTAAGGCAGCATCATGAAGGGCTGGTCCAGCAGCACTGGGTGTGTGCTAGCGGCAGCCCGAGGATTCCATGCTCCACAGTCCTCTCTGTCTACACACTTACTCCAGACAATTCCTTTCAGTCCCTTTATTTCATTGTGGGCTGATGATTCGCAAAGTTGTCTGTAATCCAGACCTCTCTCCTGGCCTCAGACCCACAACTGTCTACCCAGCACCTCCACATGGATATCTAAGAGGCATCGCAGACTAAACAACCCCAAGGCTCCACTTTGTCCAAGGAACCTGCTGCACCTCCCGTGCAGGCTCAGGATGGGACAACTCCATTCTTCTGGCTACGCAGACCAAAGTCTTGGAGTCTCCTTCACTCCTCTCTTCCCCAGGCCTCTCACAGCTGACCCTTCAGCTACCTTCCAACTCCACCCAGAACAAGAACTTTCCCATGGCCTCCGCCTGCCATCTCCTCTCACTGCAGCAGGCCTGAGTCTCCCTGCTTCCGGTCCTGCCTCCCAGCGCGGTCTGTTCTTCACCCAGCAGTTAGAGGATTCTGTTAAAACAACTCAGATTTAGGTGTGGTGGCACACATCTGTGATCCCAGCTCTCAGAAAGGCTGAGGCAGGAGAATCTCAAGTTCAAGCCCAGCCTAGGCAACTCAGCAACTTAGTGAGACTCTATCTCTAGCTAAAAAATTTAAAAAGGGGCTGGGGATGTAGCTGAGTGCAAAGGACCTGGGCTCAATTCCCAGTACTAAAAAAAAAATTCACATCATTCCTCTGCTCTGCCTCCTCCAAAGCATCCCATCTCAGTGGAAAGTCAAAGCCTACCGTGCATGAAGGGCCCTCTATGACCTGTAGCGTCTCTCAGTGCTCTAGGACCGCACCTCCCATGTATATCCAACCCCCGGCTGCACCAGCCAGGCACCGCTGTGCCAGGCCTCGAATTCTTGCCATCCTGCACTGGGGCCTTTGAACTTGTTCTCTCTCCAGCATGCACCCCACCGTGATGTCCCGTGACTCACACCTCCTGTCCTTCCACCCCAGCTCAGAGTCACCCAGCAGAGAGGACACCATGGCAATCTGCATGCAATAGCAACACGCTGCCTCCTGGGCTACTCCCTCTCCTGACCAGCCTTGCTGTTCCACAGCATTTACTGTTTAACAGAGCGGGGGTGCCTTACTCGCTTAGCTGCTTATTGTCTCCATTTTCTGTGTGGCCAGAGATTTCGTCAGTTCCACAGGCTGCTATATCCTCTGTGCCCAGATGAATGTGGACACAGTATGGCCCCAGTGAGTATTTGGCAGCTGAGAGCCTGGAAAGAGCTTTCGAGATGGTCCCATGCTGGCTGCATCAAAGACCTCTGCTGAGGGCCTCAGCTTCCCTACCATAAATCCAGGTTCCCAGGAGATTCCACGCTGTACCTCCTCCCATCTCAGGAACTGAAGCTCCAGGGGGACCTGAAGCAGATCCTTTCTGGCTGCCTCACTTTTGTGTTCTGTAGCCCTCCTGGGCTCAACTGGGCTGAAGAGGCCCATGGGCAAAGGCACACCCGGGTCTCGCTGTGTGTCCTGCCTCCTCGTGAATTCCTGATGAAAACGTGTCTGGGGACATTATTCTCAGATGACAAAACTCACTGCTTAAGCAGAGAAGAAAACAAACCCATCCACCCTGAGGCCACTTCCATGGAAACTCCAAATGAGTTCAGAAAGGCCGGTCCTACGGCACTCCGTGCATCTGTCATCCTCTCTTGTCTCATCTGGGGATTGTGTCTTCAGGCCACGCTGAGAAGAGGAGGCCCTCGGGACTGAATGCACCGAGAAGGAAGTGTTCCAACGCCCAGGCAACCTTCTGCAGCAGTGTGTGAACAATGCGATGAAGGGTGTGAAGCAGAACCAAGGCCGATCAGCTTTCTGCGTGCCCGGATTCAGCCACCTGCAGGTAGAAAACAGTGAACATCGGAGTCTGAACTGAACATATACAGAGTTTTGTTATTATTCCTTAAGCAATACAGCATAACAAGTATTTTCATAGCTTTTTAATACATTAGGTATTAAAACTAATCTAGAAGTGATATAAAGAACAGTACATGGGAGGATTGCGTAGGTTATATGCATGCACCATGCCATTTCATATGAGAGGCTGGAGCATCCGTAGATTTTGGGGAGCTCCTGGAGCCGGGGTGCTATGGATACTGAATGCTGCTACGCTGAGTGTATTCACCCCTTTACCTCTTCACCCCATAACTGAGAAGGAGAAAGGCCCAGCTGCTTCCGGCGGGAGGCGGCACCCGAGGCTCTGCCTTCCACAGCGTCTCCCAACAGTCAAAGTTCAACATGGTAAACTTTGAACATTGCTTCCAAGCGTCAGATATCTGACATGATATCTCAGTTATCTTTTCCTGAAAGGTTCCAGGCATATCTAGTCAAAGGTTCAGATGTTTCAAAAAGATGGATTCATACTTTTCTCCCCGGGTTTAAGGACGCGTGTTCGGTCCACATCAGGGGACAGCGCCCCACAGAAGCGTGAACGCTGTGCTTCTCGACCCTCGAATCAGCAATGATGTCATTAGCACTCCTGAAAATTCAACCAGCACAAATTTCTACGTCATCTTTTAGTATTTATATGTATGTGAACACTATTAAGACACACAATTCTTTATGTGAAATTCAAATAATTCTGTTAAGTAAATTAAAACAAGTCACTGATTATAAAATATGTAGATGACGCTTGTAAAAAAAAGTGTACCTTAGAATTATTTGTGCATTCATGTGTGTGTGCACACGTGTGTAATGAAAGATGAAATTTTTTCAAAAACATGTAGATGGTTTGGAGCAGTATTAATGTTTAATATTTTCCACCATTTCTCGGTTTTAGGAAAATAACTATTGTATTGTTTTTTAAAAATTTACCTAGAAAATTTTAATCGAACTTAAAAATCATCGCCTGTATGAAGTTAGACTCTTGTAAATATGCAAAGATCTTGCTAACGTGGAAGTGAATCATGTAACTGCTTCTCCTCCTGCTGATCTTGCAAAGGACTGGGCCAAGCTCTGTGTGGCGGCCTCAGCAGAAAACGTGTGATGAAGCCATGTGACAAAGTGGCTTTGGCCCCACGCCCTCGCCTTCACTCATGAGCTCTCACTCTCTCATAAACTCCTCAGGCCTCCCTGCCAGTGGCATTTTCTAGCACATCAACCAGTTCTCATCTGTAGAATCACTGAGTAGAACCGGACTGGTTTCTAAGGGTCCCTTCTGCTTTAACATTTTGCGTCGTCACTTTAAAAGCTTACGAATGGGCTGACAAATGTTACTGTGCCCATTTTACAGCTGCAGATGCTGCATATGAATGCCAAAGGGCTCTTTTTTCTGTTAGGAATTTATTGCGATTACTTTATGTACTCTATACCTCACACTTTAAAGTCCAAAATTCAATGACTTTTAATATATTTATTAATTTTTTATTTTTATTTTTTTGTATATCCTTTTATTGCTACATTTTAGGTGTACAATATAATGACATTTATCATTGGAGATATGCACCTTTACATGCTCTCTTGGTTCCTATACACCAATAAGATGGAAAACACAGAAGAAATGGACAGATTCCTAGACACATATGAATTATCAAAGTTGAATGAAGACCTAAAAATTCTAAACAACCCAATATCAACCAATGAAATTGAAAATGTAATTAAAAACTTACCAACCAAGAAAAGCCCAGGTCCTGATGGCTTCACTGCTGAATTCTACAAGACATTTAGAGAGGAACTACTGCCACTACTGTTTAAACTCCTCAATGAAATTGAAAGGGAAGCAATACTCCCGAAATCATTCCTGGAAGTAAACATCACCTTGATTCCCAAAGCAGAGAAAGACCCAACTGAAAAAGAGAACTATAGGCCAATCTCACTAATGAACATAGACGCAAAAATCGTTAATAAGATACTGGCAAACAGAATGCAGAAGATCATCAAGAAGATCATACACCCTGACCAAGTGGGATTCATCCCAGGGATGCAGGGATGGTTCAACATACGCAAATCAATCAATGTAATACACTATATCAATAGAGCCAGGGACTTTTAATGTATTCAAAGAGTTGTGTAACCAGCACCACAATGAGGTTTAGAACTTTTCATCACCCCTGAAAGGAACATTTAGCCCTCACTCCCCATTCCCTGTTTTCCCAGTTCCTGACAATCATTAGTCTACTTTCTATCTCTGTAGAACTGTCTATTCCAAAAACTTCCTATAAAGGCAATCAAAACTCTACTCGGTCTTTTCAAGTAGGGTGTCAAACTAAGTCTTTCTGGCCACAGTATTATTTACTCGGCTGTCCCAGTGCTCAGTGCTTTGAGGACACAGACCAAGTGGGAGATGTGCACTGCATAGGGCCCTTGGGAGAAGCAGAACCCAACGTCCATGGATAAACTGGAGATTGGTGACTCATGCAGTCCTGGAGGCTAGGAAGCCCTGCGCTCTGCCATCTCAAGCTGGAGAACCAGGAAAGCCAGAAGCATCTGTCACTCCAGTCCAAGTCCCAGGACTGAGGAGAGGGAACGGTGGCCAAAGGCAGG